AGTTGATTCAAGAAGAATGAAGTCCTTGACAACTTCAATATTTTCTCCATTGATAAGAATGTTGTTTATTAGTAGTGAGGATTTTTGTTTTCTTGACATTGAGATGCAATCCATACCAAAGGCTGTGTTCTTTGATCTTCATCAATAAGTATTTCCGAGTCCTGGTGTGGTGCTGTGGGTTAATGTGCCAGCCTGCAAAGCCATTTAAACTGCAAGGTCAGTGGTTCAAGCTCACCAGCTGCTCCTTGGAAACCCTATACAGGGTTGCTATGGGTAGGAATTGACTCAAGGGCACTTTACAAAAACAACAGTTAGTATTTTAAGTCCTCTTCACTTTCAGCAAGCAAGGTTTTATCATCTGCATATCACAGGTTGTTAATGAGTCTTCCTCCACTCACTAGCCACTCCTTGGAAACCCTATACTAGGTTGCTATGAGTCAAACTGATTTGATGGTACTTACCAATAACAACACTTATTATTCCCTTGATTCCTTTTCTGGTAATTCTAGTGCATTTTTTCTAACTCTGTCATTTGGTCACTTGTTTGAGCCACTTTTTTGTTTCTTTCTTGTAAACAGAAATTTTCTCCTGCTTTCAAGATATTGTGATGCTATATTTATATTGAGTTGATGATTGTATGTTTATATATTCTTAGGCACTCACCAACTGTCTCCTGGTGGTTATGAATAGGAAATGAGTTTTTGCACCATTTTCTGTTCGGTATTCATGCATTTCAGCTCATGATGTATTTTGAACTGATGTTGATGTTGGTTGCTGTCATTAAGCTGGTGTATAGCAGCTGATATTGTTTCCTGCCAAATGGATGGGTCCACTTGGTGGGTCCACACACGAGAGAAGGAAAACTAAAACAAACCATCAAACAACAGAGAAAAAAGAAAATAGTAAAGAAAGAAAGGAAGGAAGGAAAGCAGGGAACAGCTAGCAAAAGACTAGAAAAACCAAAGAGAGAAAAGAAGGAGAGAAAAATAAAGTAATAAATACACAAAAAATTAAAGAGAGAAAAATGAAAATAAAGAAATACACTTATACACGATTGGGAGAGGAATGAGTAAAATGGAAAGAGACCAGAGAGTAGTAAAAGAAAAACAAAACAAAAAGCAAGGAGGGCTAAAAGAAGAAGAAAAGGGCGAGGAGAAGAAGAAATAAAAGGATAGGAAGGAAGGAAAACAGGAAGAAAGAAAGAAGCAGAGCAATTGGGAAAGGGAAGCAGCAAAAAAAGGAAGATGAAATTTAAAAGGGAGATAGAATCTTTAGAAAGCAAGAGAGAAGGATGTAGGGAATAATGAATAAACAAAAATAATGAAACAAAAAATAAGCAAGGCATGTGCCATACTCAGAGAGGAGAAAATTCTGGGTTCCTAGCAGCTATGGACTTCATGCCGTGGGTGGATAAGAGATGAGATAGTAACACTCAAGATGGAGGTCCTGTAAGGCTAGGTGTTGTCTGCTCTGGGCACCCAATCCTGAAGTATTTCATGCAGACCCCAAAGCAACTGGGGGATCAAGATATTTCTGGTCCAGAGGGTAGCTGAGGGTGAGAGGTCTCTTTAGTCTAAGGCTGACCAGAACTGGCTTTGCAGGTCTGGAATAGGCCACACCTGATTCTAGGTGCTGGAGTTAATGTTGCTAACTCCTCCTACATTTTAATGTGACTTTGAAAGCCCAGAGAGCAGGAGATTCCCTGAGAGTATAAGTGGATGGTGGTCAGTCACACCTCTGGTCACCAGGGTAATGTGACATACAAGAAAGCAAAACAAATGCCCCATTCTCTCCTCCATACGCAGTATATCTCTACGCTATCTACCATGCTTTTTTCTTCAAAGTAGCCTATGAAAGTTCCAGGTGACCCTACTGCCGCTGGCTGGCCTGCACAGATCTCCAGTCTCTTTTATTTCTTTTTCTTCCCCCCTCCCCTTATACTTCTATTCAGCTTCTTATCCTAGTGAGAGCTAATCCAAGGCTGGCCATGGCTTACTCTGCAGATCTGGAGTAGGGTCTGCTTGAATGAGGTCAGTTCAGCTAATTCCTCACTCTTTTACTGGGACCCACAACCACAGCACTCACCTCTGTGAAGCTCTGACAGACCACCAAGAGTCAGTAACTTCCCTAGGGGTGCATGTGGGTGGGCTCTGGTCTCACCTATGATCACCAAGGGAGTGTAGAGAACAACATTAACAAAAATTACACAAGAATCTCTGAGTCACAGGACATTTCTGCAATGCCAGTATTTTTCTTATCTCTGGAGCTTTTCACAAAAGCTCCAAGACCAGTTTTTCTGATACCCCAAAGAGGTTTGCTTTGTTTTTTTAGTTTTGTGTTTCAAATATGACAAAATTTTCCCTTAAATAAAAACATAATATCTGGTAACTATTGTTGTTGTTGTTAAGTGCCATTGAGTCAGTTCCAATTCATAGTGACCCTGTGTAGGATTGGCTGTGGAACGGCTGGTGAATTTGAACTGCTGATCTTTCTGCTCAAACTGACCTTGTGGTCCAGTGCATATCTTATAGTGTCACAGGGCCTACTATGTTCCAGGCACAATTATCAATGCTATGGGCTGAAAGTAGAGAATCCCAGAGGATGTTTACTTGTGTTCAAGGTTGGCCATGGCCAGCTCTGCAGGCTTGCAGTAGACTTCACCTGAATCCAAGTGCCAGGATTAATGCAGATAGCTCCTCTCCTCCTTAATGGGGGTCACAACTGTTCCACTCACCAACCTGCTGCACTGACAGCCAGGAGAGAGGAAGTTCCCCTGGGGGTGTACATGGGTTGAGCTGGTCATGCCTCTGGTCACCAGGGAAGTGTGGGGAACAAGAAAAAAAGCATACTTTTGTCTCCATGATTCACCTGTATGTTTCTGCAATGCCAATATGCTGTCTTGTCTCTGAAGTCTCTCACCAAAGTTGAAAATTGTGGTGCCGCCATCTTGTCAGCCAGCACAGGTCACCAGTCTGATGCCTTTGTTTGCCTCATCTTTACAACTTTCTATCCTAGTAAGCGTTCAATACACGCCTCTATCCCTTCATGTGAAGCTCAGGGCTTCAGAACTATCATCTGTGTCTGTTTCATTTGGTTTTCCATATCTTTGCTGTCGAGTCTATATAGGCTTAGTTCCTAGTCCATCATGTTGCCTCCTTCTCTGTCACAAAAGATTTTAAAAACATAATGTAGCAATAACTTTAAATTTAAATATATATATTCATAAGGAATGAGCACTCACAAACACTACTGATTAGTATCCAAAAAATGGTTCTACTTTTCTCGAAGAAAATGTGCTCAATAATAAATGTCTTCACACATGCTTGCATGTAGACACACCATAGAGCCAATTATAATGCCAAATATTAAATGAAATGGGAAGTATGGTTGTATTGAATGCTTACTAGGAGAGAAAGTTGCAAAAACATGGCTAAAAAAAAGGAGTCATACTGGTAACTTGTGCTGGATGACAATGAAGAACTATCTAAAATACCTCAAAAGACCTGATGGAATGGTACTTGAGGACTCTGTTTGGGGCTGTAGTTAGATCATTATGTAGTAACTCCATTTTTTTTTTTTTCCCACACACAAGTTATGAATCAACGCAGTATATTTTCATGGAATTTAAGTTAATTATTGCTATGTCAAAACAGAATCTTCAAAGGAAAAATTAAATTTAAGAGGCCCTTACGATAGAGAAAGTTGAGAAACATAGACCTGCATATTCTGATCTTAGAAAATTGTCATAAAGTCCAGCAATTGTTATTTTTTATTCAGTTCTCAATCAATGACTTTATAATGCATCAGATTCACAAGCACTATCTCATTTAGTTCTAGATGATTCTATAATCCCCTCTTTTCATGTCAAAACCAGAAAGTAATAAAGTCCAAGCTCACATCTTTAAGATTTTCCGAGTGGGTCCTATTGCACACCAATCTCTGTTGGTCCATAAAATTGGCTGTTAACTCACACACAGCAAGAGAAATGTCTTCAGCTGGGCATCCTCATAAATGTGTTCTTAAGGGAAGACTTGAAAGGAGACAATCTGATTTGAGGGAGGAAATCCTCCAGGTGACACTCTCTGGTGTCTTGGTTGTGATGAAGTTTTTGTCTCTGCTGATTTTATGTCTCACTTGGCCATGTCCTTTATGGATCCATTTCCCACTTCCCCTAATAGTATCATCAGTCATTATAAGATCTTCTTAATGACTCTGGAAGCATTTTAGCAGGAAACGACCTCTGCAAGCAAGTCATATCTACAATACAACTATATCAAGTGCAACATGATGTATCAAGGCTAACAGAATACAAAACTTGGTCCATGAAATCCACTCTGAAAGAAATCTCTTTCTTTAACATCTTTTTAAAACTATTTCCATTGGACTATGGGCCCATGTGATACCCCTGAGTATGGTGACCACTACTTCCTTATCACACTTGTTGTTGTTGCTGTTAAGTGCCATCAAGTTGGTTCCAACTCATAGTGACTCTGGATAGGGTTTCTGAGGAGCAGATGGTGGATTTGAACTGCCAACCTGTGGTTCGCAGTCTAGTGCAGATCCTACAGCACCGTGCTAGGAATCGCAATCAAACTTAAGGGCCTGAAATCAGTGGGCAGCTCAGCTATCTGAGACTGAAGATCTGACACCTTGGACACAGTAGGAAAGCGATTATTTGTGATGGTCTTGCACAATCTCCAAGGTGCTACGATGGAGCATGCTCAAGACTCAACTATACCCCCAAATTACTCTGGCCTTCAACTTCTTTTAGAATCCTGGAATCCTCTTAGCCCTTAACTTAAGCATAATTGTGGGAACTGGATTTTTAAATTGTATTCAATGTCACTGCATTGCTTATTGATGGCAGCTCAGCATAATAGCACCAAGAAATAAGGAAGCCAAGTGTTTACTTCTTGCTGTCTAGTTAGTCATGTGGACTGCAAAAGGTACACATTTCCACCTCCATCTTCCTTCTATGGATAATAATACATACTCAAATATTATTCTAAATGAGGTAAACCTGTTGCCCTCTTTATAAGTCTCTTGAGAGCTGCTTTGATCTCTTTGTTTCTCAGACTATAGATCAGCGGATTTAACATGGGGATGATGATGACATAGAACAATGACAGCACCTTGTCCTGCTTCATGGAGTGACCAGATTTGGGATGCAAATATACAGAGAAAGCTGTGCCATAGTAGAGTGTCACTGCTGTCAGGTGGGAGGCACAGGTATTGAAGGCCTTGGCAGAACCTTTGCCTGAGGATATTTTCAGTATTGAGGCTGCAATAAAACCATAGGATAAGAGGATAATAAGCAAAGAACCAAATCCAACAAAAATAGCTACCAGAAGAGTCATTTGGCTGATGAAGCTGTTAGAGCAAGACAAGGAAATAATCTGAGGGAAATCACAGAAGAAATGTTGAATGATATTTGGCCCACAGAAGTAAAGATAAAAGCAAGAGAATAATTGAGATAAACTGCTAAGTAAACCACTCACATATGCCCCAGTGACCATCTTTCCACAAAGGCCAAGGGTCATGATGGCTGAGTACTGCAGAGGACTACCAATGGCAACATATCGGTCATAGGCCATGCCGGCCAACAGACAGCATTCAGTCAGTGACATCCAGGCCACAACAAAATATTGAGTGACACAGGCAATGAAGGGAATCGTTTTCTCATTTTTTAGGAAATCTGAAAGCATCCTGGGACTGACAGAAGAAGAACAACATATGTCTACAAATGACAGGAAACTCAGAAAAAAATACATGGGTGTGTGCAGTTGAGAGTCCATCTTGATTAGGAGAATGAGACCCAGGTTCCAGATAAGTGTCACAAGGTAGATCCCTAGGAATATTGGAAAGAGGATGAGCTGTAGCTCTTTTTCATCTGAGAGACCCAGGAGAACAAATATGGTCACAGAGGAGTGGTTTCCATTCCATTCCATGGACCAGATATGTGTCATCTGCTGAAGAAAAGATGAGAAAAGGAAATGGCTTTATTTCTTCACCATTAAAAAAAAAAAAAAGGCTAATCTTTTTATTTCTGTCACACATCTGGTTAATTTTACAACATTAATTTTTTGAGAAAATACAATCACATTTCATATACTAACATCAACCTTAACTGAAAAATCTTCTTGGATATACAAGTGTATATTATCATTATTTCCACCACTAGTTTGTCATTTTTCTCTCACTGTTGTGGTTTGTTGGTTGCTGTAATGCTGGAAGCTATGTCACTGATATTTTGAATGGTGGCAGGATGACCCAATATGGATAGATTTCAGTTGAGCTTCCAGATTGACTAGGAAGAATGAGAGGTAGACTACTTCCAAATGTTTTGCTACTGAAAACTTTATGAATAGTAGTGAAACACTGTCAGGTAGCACCAGAATATTGAATTTTAAAACTTGATGAATAATATCAGAATATTGTCAGATATAATGCTGGAAGATGTGCTCCTTGGGTTAGATTGCACTCAAAACATGGCTGGGGAAGAGCAGCTTCCACAAAGTAAACTTGACCATGATGATGTAAATTGAGTAATATCTCAAGGACCTTCTTTTGCTGATGGGGTACAACTCAAAATGAGGAGAAAAAGCTGCCAACATCCATTAGTAATTGGAACATGGAATGTACAAAGTATGAAACTATGAAAATTGTTGTTAAGTGTTGTTGAGTTGGATCCAACCCATAGTGACCCTGCTTGGATTGCCGAAGAATGGCTGGTGAGTTTGAATTGTCTGTTGACTTTGAAATACAAACCGACTTTGTGAACTAGTGCATCTCCTACAGCACTGTACTTTAGAAGTTGTTTAAGATGAAATACAGATCAATAATCTTAGGCATTAATGAATTGAAATGGACTCACACTGGCCCTTTTGAATATGACAATCACATGGTTTCCTATGCTGGGAATGACAAACTGAAGAGGAATGACATTGCATTCATCATCAAGAAAAAAATTTTTAGATGTTATAACATATAATGCTGTCTGTGATAGGATAATATCCATATACTTACAAGTATTACTACATAGCACTGTATTCCATTAGGTCATACCTATTGTTCTAGGTAGAATAGAATACCACTATTATTCTAATTCATGGAGAAACCACTAAAGCCAATGATGATGGAATTGTAGAACTCTACTAACTTCATCAGTTAGATATTGATCTGACATGCAATCAAGATGTATTAATAATTCTGGTGACTGGAATGCAAGAGTTGGAAACAAAGAAGTAGGGTCAGTAGTTGGGAAACATGGCTTTGTGGCCTTGGTTATATAAATTATGATGGGGATTATATCATAGAATTTTGCAAGGCTAATGATTTCTTCATTGCAAATACATTATTTAAACAATGTAAAAGATGGTTACGCACATGGACTTCACCAAATTGAATTCAAAAAAATCGAATTAACTATATCTGTGGAAAGAGATGGTGGGAAAAGCTCCATATATTTAGCCAAAACAAAGCCATTGGCAGACTGTGAAACAGACAACCAATTGCTCATATGCAAGCTCAGGCTGAAGCTGAAAAAATTTGAAACAAGACATGAATACCAAAATTTGACCTTAAATATGTCCTATTTGAATTTGGAAATAATCCAAAATTATATTTGATGCATTAGACACTAAAGACTGAAAGCCAAAAAATGTGTGGGATGACATCAAGAATGTCAAACAGTAAGAAAACGATGGATCATTAAGAAGACAAGAAAGAAGGAAAAGACCAAATAGGATGTAAGAAGAGACTCTGAAACTTGCTGTCCATTATAGAGATGGTAAAGCAAAGGGAAGTATGGAACAGCTAAACAGCAAAGGGAAGCTCCAGAAGAAAAGACAAATACTATAATGAAATGTGTAAAGATCTGGAGTTGAAAAACCAAAAAGGAAGAACAAGGTCAGCATTTCTTAAGCTGAAAGAACTGAGGGAAAAATTCAAACCTGGACTGGACCTCAAGGTCAAACCTGGACTGAACCACAGGGTTGGGGGTTCAAGCTTATCAGTCACTCCTTGGAAATCCTACAGGTTCACTCTGAGTTGGAACCTACTTGATGTCACTCAACAACACCAACACCATGGGCAAAATATTGAGTGATGCAGTAATCATCAGAAGAAGATGGAAGGTCCTTACAGCAAGAATCATTCCTACCCCTCCACACGCAGAGTAAACAAGGATGGGCAACTTGGACATTGGCTACCCAAAATGGGGGTGGGGGGCATACAAAGGCAAGAAGTGACTGGATTACAAGCTTTCAAGAGGGAACCTAGAGCCAGGGGGCCTGGAGGAAGGCAGATTCTCCAGTGAGTAGTATCCAATCTGTCTAGGTGAAGCTGATGAAATGAAATGCAGATGGGTCTCTTGTGATACAATAGTGAATAATTGTTATCAGAACTGATTGTGAGGGTTGGAAATGTAAAGGTAGACATTTTATAGCAAGGAGGGGAGTGATTAACTTTTCAGTCTAGGAGCGGAGGTCCCTAGGACCATCAAGGGAGAAGAGCAGAGAGCAGGACCCTACCCAGAGAAGCAGTGATGCCTGAAATGGAGGCAGAGATGATGACGTGGAGCAATGGAGCAGCTGGGGACTTTAGATCCAGAGAGGGAGAGTGACTGTGTGCTGAAGACTGGGGAGGGGGCAGGCTTGCAGGGTATACGCTTTGGTTGGTTGATGATGCTTAGAGGGGATTGTAACCATGGCAATGAAATGATATACGATAGAATGAATGTAAAACTAATGTTCTCCCATGTAAACTATCATATAATTCACAATAAAACATTAAAAAATAAATAAAGAAAGAAGACAGAAAGAATACACAGAGTCACTGTACCAAAAAGAAATGGTCAATGTTCAACCATTTCAAGAGGTAGCACATGATCGAAAGTCAATGATGGTGAAGGAAAAAGTCCAAAGTGCACTGAAGGCATTGGCAAAAATCAAAGCACTAGGAAAAGACGGAATACAAACTGAAATCTTTCAAGAAACTGATGCAGCGCTGGAGGTACTCACTCACCTATGCCAAGAAATTTGAAGACAACTACTTGGTCAACTGATTGGAAGAGATCCATATTTGTGCCTAATATGGAAGAGGTGACCTAATAGAATACAGTAATCATTGAACAATATCATTATTGCATACAAGTAAAATTTTGCTAAAGCTAATTCAAAAATGGCTGCAGCAGTGCATTGACAGGGAACTGGCTCTCAGGCCTGATTCAGAAAAGGAACTAGTGAGATCACTGCTGACATCAGATGGATGTTGCCTGAAAGCAGAGAGTACCAGAAAGATGTCTGCCTGTGCTTTACTGACTACACAAAGGCTTTCAAGGGTGTGTATCATGACAATGTATGGAAAACATTGCAGAGAATGAGTAATCTGAAACACTTAATTTTGTTCATGAGGAACCTGTACATAGACCAAGAGGCAGTTGTTCAAACAGAACAAGGAAACACTGAGTAGTTTAAAATCAGGAAAAGTGTGTGCTAGGGTTATTGTATTTTTTCACCAGACTTATTAAATCTGTATGCTGAGCCAATGATCCCAGAATTGGAGTATATGCAAAAGGGCATGGCACCAGGATTGGTAGAAAACTCATTAAAATCCTGTGATATGCAGATGATATAACCGTTCTTCCTGAAAATGAAGAGGACTTAATATACTAATGAATATCAAAGACCATAGCCTTCGGTATGGGGTGTGCCTCAATGTAAAGAAAATTAAAATCTTCACCACGAGACTAATAAATAACAGTATGATAAATGGAGAAAAGATTGAATTTTGTCAAAAACTTCATTTTGCTTGGGTTCACCATTCACACTCGTGGAAGCAGCAGCCAAGAAACCAAATGATTTTATACATTATGGAAATCTGCTGCACAAGACCTCTTTAAAGTGTTCAAGAGCAAAGATGTCAGTTTGAGCACTAAAATGCATCTGACTCAAAGCATGGTATTTTCAATAGTCTCATATGCATATGAAAGTTGGACAATGAATTAGGAACACCATAAAATAATTGATGCATTTGAGTTATGATGTTGGAGAAGAGTATTAAAGGCACAATGACTGCCAGAAAAACAAACAAATCTGTGTTCAAGGAAGTACAACCAGAATGCTTATTAGGTGCCCAGATGGCCAGTGTTCATCTCACACACTTTGGATATATTATGAAGAGGGACCAGTCCCTGGAAAAAGACATCATGCCTGATATCGTGGAGGGAAACCCAAAAAGAGGGAGATCCCCAATAACATGATTGGCACAGTGGCAGCAACAATGGGCTCTAGTATAGCAGCAATTGTGAGGATGGCACAGGGCTGGGTGATGTTTCGTTCTGTTTTACATCAGTTTGTTATGAGTTGGAACCAATTTGAAGGCATTAACAACATTAACATTCTTTACTTGTGGACAAACAGCATTCAATGGACAGAATTAGTATATTTTCTACTAAAATGTCTTCATTTCTTACTATGCCATGGCATAGTCAGCAAATATGTGAGATGTTGGAGACAGGTCAAATTAGGAAAATGATGTCGTTTCTTTATATGATGAAACAGAGTCTACTTGGACATTACTCTACTGGTGATAAGAGAAGTTCCTAGGAATGTACAATAAGGAGACTGGAGTTGGTGCTATTTAAATCTTCGTAAGAAATAACATCTAATTAATCTAGAATGAGGAACTCCTGACAATTCTATAACAACGTTTCTGTTTTTACTATACTTGGAAAGATGTACGAATCATGAAGTAGGATAATGGAAGAGTCACTCAGACTCATTTCAAGCATCAGCTTGAAAATGGATGTGGCATGACCAAATCAGTGAATCTAGGAAGCCTCCTGAGAAATGAAGTCATACAAGGATCAGAGAATTATGAAACTCCCTTTCTTGCTGGTACAGATTTTTTTCTTGAAATCAGAAACACTCCTTAAGAGTCAGATTGCTGAGGATAGTAATTATTT